AAAAAAAAAAAAAGCACAGAAAGAAAAAACTGCCAGCCTAGAATTCCATACCCAGCATATTTTCCCAAAAAAGGCAAAATGAACACTTTGCAGATATATGAAAACTAAAAGAAGTCAGCACCAGCAGAATAGCACTACAAGAAATATTAAAAGAAGTCCTTTAGGCAGAAGGAAAAATGGACACAAAAATAGAAATATGGACACCCAAAAATGAAGAGCACAGTTAATGATAACTACATGGGTAAATATATGGCTTTTCCTTTTTTTCAAAGATTTTATTATTTGTTTGAGAGAGAGAGACAGACAGAGAGAGAGTGTGTGAGCTTGATGGGGCGGGGGGCAGAGGGAGAAGCAGACTCTGCTGAGCAGGGGCCCGATACGGGCCTCAATCCCAGGAGTCTGGGATCGTGACCAGAGCTGAAGACAGATGCTTAACCAACTGAGCCACCCAGGCGTCCCTGGCTTCTCTCTTATTATTTAAATATCTTTAAAAGATAATTGAATGTTTAACAGGAATTGTTTAAACAAAAAAATAAATACAATGTTATTGAAGTAAACTATGTGACAATAGCCCAAAAGCTAGGAGGGGAGAAATGGAATGTCAATTATATCTCAATAAAGCGGTTAAATAATTAAAGGTAGACCCTCCAAAGAAAAAGTTTATAATGTAGTATTTCAATGTTACAACTTCTTATTCTCCTAGATTCTCTTTCTTTAAAAAGTATGTGATAACCTCTTCATTTTGCTACAAATTTTTTATATGTGCATCTATGCATTAAAAAAAAATTAGAGGGGCACCTGAGTGGATCAGTCAGTTAAGCGTCTGCCTTCAGCTCAGGTCATGATCCCAGGGTCCTGGGATCAAGCCCCACATCGGGCTCCCTGTTCAGCGGGGAGCCTGCTTCTCCCTCTCCCTCTGCTGCTCCCCCTGCTTGTACTTTCTCTCATTCTCTCTCCTGCTCTCTGTCAAATAGATAAATAAAATCCCCCCCCAAAATTAGAGGGTTTTCCAATATACCTTTCTCCTGGAATCTCACTAAAAGAGAAAGAAAATTGTAAAAGATTTAATGAGGAAATTTATAAGGAAAAAGAATAAAAGATGTGGAAACAGCAATCAAGACTTGTGCATCAACTCTCCAGCTCCCAAAAATACCGAATAGCATAGCATTTAGGAAAAGGTTGAAACCGAACAATCTGAAGGGGGGATCTGAAACCTTAAGCCCTAGAAAGACTCAAGAATGAGAGGCACCAACAGCTGTGAAAGCATGCTTTAGGATGGAACTAAAAACAGAAGGACTGGGTTAAAATCTGTTTAAGAAACAGTGATACTCCCAAATCCTCTCTGCCACTTTGAGAAGACACATGACTCACCTCTGACAAAAAAATGTAGGGGAGGCTGTAGGACTGTAGCTTACTAGGCACGGAAGAGATGGGGTAAGAGATCTACTGATGACTGCCCCAGCGGCAGGCGGAGGATGCTCACCTTCTGCATGTGAGACGCCCTAGTGTCCTGTATCTGCTCAGCTCCCAGAAGAGTGGCAGCCAGGTCTATGTCACCCTCACAGGAGTAAGAAAGTAAAGAACAGAAGTAACATCTGAAACAGTTGAGATCATTAACACCCGGGAAGTGAAAACAAGCAGAGGGAAGAATAGGGCACTAGATAGCTACTTTTTGGTTTTGATAGCTATTTTTGGTTAGAAACCTTATGTTACTGGGGTGCCTGGGTGGCTCAGTCGGTTAAGCATCTGCCTTCGCTCAAGTCATGATCCCAGGGTCCTGGGATGGAGCTCCACGTGGGGTTCCCTGCTCAGCGGGGAGCCTGCTTCTCCCTCTGCTCCTCCCCCTGTTCATGCATTCTTTTTCTCTCTCAAATAAATAAAATCTTTTTAAAAATTTTTTTAAAATTAAATTAAAAAATCTTATTTGACCATTTAAAATATACTCGTTATTTTTAAACCATGCACTTACATCATTTTGATAAAAATTATTTTTAATTGAATTATCAGAATACACATTAAAGTTCTCGTTCTGTTGTTGTTTTTGTTAATTTACAAGTCTTTTCTTCCTTACCTTCTTCCCACCCGGCTTCTCCACAGTGAAAACTTCACTCCAGATCTGAATCCCCGTTGTTTCTGGGTCAGAGCCCCCTCTCCATGAAAACCCTGTTAATGGTTCTTCTGAGTCACCCAACCAATTTGAACAGCCACCTTCCTTCTATAGGAAAAATAAGAAATTTCCATTAAATCTTAAATTTTGAGTAATTTTACCTATCAAGGATAATCCACAAGCTTATTTTGCTCTTTTGGACACAGAAGTCTCATTTTCCAATCTGAAATGAAATACTTCGAGCTTACCTGGAAATATAAGTATCGTAGCATGAAGTCCAGGAAGAAGGACTTGCCCTTTCGGAAAGCACCAGCCACCGACACCACCACCACATCAAGGTCTCGGATGTGGTCCTGCAAGAGAATGCTGGCCAAGGCTTTCTCTTCTAACTCAAAGGAATGCTGGTCTTTCTGAACCAAAACAACCTGCACTGGGCCAGGCTTTCCACTCTCCATGGCATCACCTAGATTGTTGCAGAGAAAAAAAAAATCACTTTCAAATCTTTTTTAAATTTGTATTTTTGAACATGGGAAAAGCAAAAACTTCTTAAATGGCACAAAAACACTAACCATAAAAGAAAAAATGACAAATTAGACTCCATTAAAATTAAGAGTTTTTGTTTATTAAAAGACATCATTAATGGGGGGATGGGGTAACTGGGTGATAGACATTAAGGAGGGCATGTGATGTAATGAGCACTGGGTGTTACATAAGATCGATGAATCAGTGACCTCTACCTCTGAAACCAGTAATACATTATATGTTAATTAATTGAATTTAAATTTTAAAAGACACCATCAAAAGAAAGTAAAACGAAAGCCACAGACCAGGAAAAAATATTCACAATACCTATATCCAAAAGACTCACACCCAGAATCAATATGGAAATCCATAAGAAAAGGACAAATATTCAAATTTTTCAAAATAGTAATAAGCAAAAAGGCACTTCATTAAAAAAAGGATACCCAAATGGTCAATAATCCTATGAAGAGGTGCTTCCATACCATTACTTACCAAAGAAATAGAAATAAAACCATATTGAGATACCACTACCTGTCCCATCAGAATGGGGCTAAAATTGAAATGACTGACAATATCAACTGTGAGAGAAGTTGTGGTACAGCTGGAACTGTCACACATTCTAATGGGAATATAACCACTTTGGAAAAATGCTTGGCAGTAGCTACTAAAACTAAACATACCTATAATCTAGCAATTCTACTCTTAGGTATATAATTTAGAGAAATAAGTGCTTATGCCCACCGAAAGATATAAATACAAGAACGTTCACATCAGGGACGCTTGGGTGGCTCAGTCGGTTAAGCAGCTGTCTTCAGCTCAGGTCATGATGATCTCAGGGTCCTGGGATGGAGCCCCACATGGGGCTTCCCTGCTCAGCGGGGAGTCTGCTTCTCCCTCTCCCTCTGCCCTCCTCCCTGCTCATGCTCTCTCTCTCAAATAAATAAAGATGAGCAGAAAGTCCCAGGCTGGGCTCCATCCCAGGACCCTGAGATCATGACCTGAACCAAAGGGAGATACTCTACCGACTGAGCCACTCAGACACCCCAATAAATAAAATCTTAAAAAAAAAAAAGGTTCACATCAACTTTATGCAAAATAGTCCAAACTAGAAACAATCCAAATGTCTATCAGCAGTAGAAAGGGTGCCTGCCACTGCTAAGCCTTTTTTACATACATTTTGTTTAATCCTCAGAACAACCCTATGTGGTAAATAATACTGCCTCATTTTTAAAAATAAGGAAACTAGGGCTTACAAAAGTTAAACATCTTGTCCAACTGGTTTTGGAGAAAAGCTTGAAAGGATCTTTAGGTGGCTAGGACTTGCAGATCATTCCTAATAACCTAGTCAACACTTTAGGGGCAATTAATTCTTTAGCTCAAAATTAAGCACTAACTAGTAGTTTCCCTACCAGAGTTGAAAGCAGAAAGGTATCAATTCTTTGAAATTCATAGAGCCACTCAGTAGCTATGGATTTATGGAAAGTTTACGAAAAACTACCAGTGTAGCCTAGTAAAGCCTAGAAGCAAAGCACTATTTCCCTAAGTGTATGTACCCTGGTATTAAAGATGTTTTCATGTACTAAAAGGACATTTATTTTAATAATTATGTATTTTAATGTATACAAGGAAACAAAACCATGTTTTAATGGATTATTACTTGGAAGGATGCTAAGTTTAAAAGGTGAATCAATTCAAAGTAAATTGAAAAACAAATCCTAAGCAAAGCACAGTAAGGTAAGCAGATATGGCAAAAACCACAAATACGGTCCCCAAATTACTTCTGTCTGGGAAACACTGAAGGCTGCATGATCACAGTAGACAAAGTCAACAAAACAGCTTGATTGCCAGACTCTACCCATTAAGCTATGGGAATTGCTGCTCACTTTTTATACCAGAAAGCAACAAAGGGTTCTTGCCACTTTTATATTTTTATCAAACTAGTGGAAAACAAGTTATAAATATACATTAACTGTCACGGTATCATTGTAATAAATGTATATTACTATTTTTCTTTCCCATTACTGCCCAGATAAAAAAGAAATATTTCTGTGAATAATCTCTTAACAGTTCTTTATTGCCACAAAAGCAGGTGAATCCAGGACCTAAAGACCTTCCATCTTTCATATAAAAGAACAAACGATCTTATGGATAAGCCACAGGGTCAAGTACTGTGCAAGACTCAAGAGCAATTCCAAAGTCCCTGAGATGGCTGGTTGCTCCCCCAATATTCATTTTCCCCTCCTGCTATGGCAACTGATTTTTAGCTGGGCATAAAACCTGCCCCAAAGAAACCCATTTTCAACCCAACCTTGTAGCAGGGGTATCACTGTGTGACTAAGTTCTAACTCTGGAAATGATATAGCAACTTCCGGGGCACGCATTTTTCCCTTTCCTGCTAGCTGGATGTATTCACGGGAGGGAGTCATCCTGCACCAGGCACACGAGGGCAACACCCCAGAAATAGTGGAGCAACAAGAGGTAGGACCTAGGACTTCATGTAGCAGAATTGCCCTGCTGGCTCACTTTTATGTGAAATAAATACTTAAATGTCTACCTCGTTTAGATAACTAATTTGAAAGCTCTATCAGGTACGGCCAAACCCAGTAACCAGTACAACAGTCCCCCAGGACTTCACCATTAAGTTCATGATACTGGCTCTTTCCATTTCATCTATTAAACCATTAAAGTTTACTGAGCAAGTGAATGTACTGACACATAGCAGGCACACAATAAACAATCGTAAAAAGAATGAATCATATGTACTGTAATATAGTTGAAGGCCACAACCTTGAGGATGCAGGTGGTTTTGCCAGAGCAACAGGCACAAAAGATAAGGTTACCTGGGCTACTGACAAGATGGGATAATCCAATGACAAGAATGTATGCAGTTGTGCACAATGAACTGTACTTCAAGAGAAGATGAAGACCACTGAGGACAGTTGGGGGGAAAAAGGTGATAAGGCCCTTCACTCATCTCTTCCTCTCTTTCTGCCTACAGCACAGTGAAAAGGAAGAGAGAACCAGGCTATGTTTAGTTGGAGGAGCTGGGATGATCTTGCATTTCTCTTCGAACAGTTTATTGGGCACACTGGATTTAAAAAGATCTTATTCCTTTGGTTTCCGTCCACTTAAGGGAAAAATCATTGTGAACTGCACACATCACCAATATAGAGTTGCTCACTTTTCAACATATCATCTTTCTCTCTCATTTCCTAAGACAAGACAGTATCTTTTTTTTTCTAAAAGATATATTATTTTGAGAGAGCGAGCGAGCAGGGAGAGGGGCAGAAGGAGAGGGAGAGACTCTCCAGCAGACACCGCATTGAGCATGGAGCCTGATGCAGGGCTCAATCTCACGACCCTGAGATCCTGACAGGAGCCAAATCCAAGAGTCGGACACTTAACTGACTGAGCCAGCCAGCTGCCCCCAATGGTATCACTGATCTTCCAAGCAAAAACTTTATTTCTACTTACCCCTTTCCAGATGTCACATAATTGCCCTTTGCTCTTTAAAAAAATTGCTAAAAGGGGTACCTGGCTGGCACAGTTGGAAGAGTATGCAATTCTTGACCTTGAGGTCATGAGTTCGAGCCCACATGGGGTGTAGAAATTACTTAAATAAAACAAAAAAATTTAATAAAAAATAAATGTCCTTTGCTGATTTATCCCCATATCTCAGGCTCCCCAATCCCTTAATCAAAACCTCAGGACCTTCTCCCTTAGGCCTTACCACCTCCCAATCTTTCACGCCCATTAGGAACCATCCCCAAGGGTTGCTTTAATGATGCGACCTCATCCTTTTGGGCTGACCTCCTTCATTATAGTACATAAATACATCACGACAGCAAGTACATAAGGGCTAGCAAAAACACTTCATGGATCAAGGGCTCAAAGCTAAATCTCCATCCTCTAAGTCAAAGCCTTTCACCATTCTCCCCACTGCCTTGGTTCCTCTTCTTCCTTATCCCCCTCATCCTCTCAGGAAGATTTACTTTCACTGGTCTTTCTACTGAAGAAACTTAGGATTCGGGTCCTGTCCTGCCTTGATTCCAAAATTTCAAACATACAACCTATTCAGCCACTTGTTCCCATGGCGTGAAATGCACATTCCCCACCCCCCAACTCCAGGCCAAACACTGACCCTTCAACACCCACCTTACCCTCCCTCTGTCCCCATCCTCTGCCTATCACTTTACATGGTATACTAAAAAGAAAACAGGTTCTGGAATCAAGATACAGCAGGGCTTGAATGCTTACCTTCTCCCCTCTAAAATGTAAGCTCCATGAGGGCAAGAATTTTTTTTTTAAGATTTTATTTATTTATTTGACAGAGAGAGACACAGCAAGAGAGTGAACACAAGCAGGGGGAGTGGGAGAGGGAGAAGCAGGCTTCCCGCTGAGCAGGGAGCCTGATGCAGGACTCGATCCCAGGACCCTGGGATCATGACCCGAGCCGAAGGCAGATGCCCAATGACTGAGCCACCCAGGCGCCCCCATGAGGGCAAGAATTTTTGTCTCTTCTGTTCAATGCTATATCCCCCAAGATCCCAGAACAGTGCCCACACATAATAGATATCCAATAAATATTTGTGGAATAACTGAATAAACTCCACCACTTAGTCTCAATGTGACTATGGATAAAATCCTAACCACTTGCAGTTTCATTTAGTAATTGAATACTCCTCTCAAAGCCCAGAGTCTAACACATATTAGGAACTCAATAAAGTGGTCCCACTTTCCTATTTCCACTAAAACCTCATACATACTCTATTATCTCACCCATTATAATATTCTCATTTGTAATCATGATTTACCACCCAACTGAGAACTTCTGGGGAGTAGGGAAACTATCACGTTCAGCCCCAGTATCTAAAAGGAAGAATAAAGATAAACTCAAAATGGATGAAAGACCTCAATGTGAAACAGGAATCCAACAAAATC